AAAATATAATACTTCCTATATTAAACATTACTTAATTTAATTACAACTAATTAATGTAATTATGAATCTTGTTCGTTAATTACTAAAATCTATCAAAACTGCTAAACAATTTCACCACTCCCTTGAGCCCTTGAGTCGCCCCTATGAACATGATCTCCACTATGACTATTCTCCCAACTCTCTTCATATCATAAGGTAAAAACCATGTACACAAGTTGAGATGGAATATAGAGTGTTAAAAACAAACAAAAGGATTGAATCCAATTCACATTCCCCCCAGCCGAACCACACTCCTTCCTCTTCATCATCACACTCCTCATGTTGCGAGGTTAGCTATGGCAAATCCTTCTGCGAACAAGGCACTTGAATTTGGAATTTGCGTAGTCCACTGTTATTGGCATAAGAAACTAGATAAGTTGTTGTGCGACATGTCTAGGCTCTCCATGCACTCAAGATTCCTAAAACTTGAGGATATTTCTCTTGACAAGTGTTGTGAGTACAACATTTAACATTTTCATGCCTGAGTTTGCCTAAAGAAGTTGGAATAATTTCTACCCGAGTTGGTTGTCAAAACAAGTCCAAGAATGAATAGAAGTTGATGCTCTTTGGCAAGAGGGCTTGCTTTGTTCCAGTTCACCATCCACTCCAAGTAGCGTATAATATGGCAAAACTAAAAGTTGGGCAATAATAAATTTGAAATTGATGGTGAAAAATAAAAATCTTTTTGTCAGCCCGCCGGCTTTACTCATGCCGGCAAGATTTCGTAGTTCTGCGGGATGCTTCTTGTTAAGCTGTTGCTTGACAGGTCAAGGATTTGGTGAATGGAGACAACTGAGGTTACATTGGAAATCTTTTGGGGCGGCGAGCCTATGAGATGATTATTTCTTAAACGTCTCAAACGTTAGAGGGTAGAAATTTAAGTGATGAACTCTGAGAATTCTCCAGTTATATCATGTTGTCATGAAAATCAAGGTGTTTGAGTAGGCAAAGATACCAGTGGGACTTCACCAGATAATTCATTTTCGGACAAGTCCAGGGGTACACTACTATTATAGAAATGGGTTTTGTCTAAGATCTAGAAATGTTTTTCCAAAGAATATGCTCAACGAGTTCTTGCAGAAAAAGTAGGTTGGCAATGGAGGTTTTGATAGATTTTACTCCGTAGTAATTAGCGAACAAGAGTTATAATTACATTAATTAGTTGTAATTAAATTAAGTAATGTTTAATATAGGAAGTATTATATTTTGTAAAAAATGATCTACTTAATATTGATTTTTTTTAATGAGGTGACATCTTCTTGTTCACCGCCGTTGTATAGCATCTATATAACGACGGTGCATCAAATATTTACTACTCATAACAATATCCTATTTATTCCAAATTCCTTTCAAGCATTTTCGCTTTATTTTCTGATCGGTTGTGTTGGCTAGTTGTCGATCGCTTAGGTCATAAAATCAACAATTGTTGTTACTATTTTTATTAGGAAAAACGTTCAAATTAGTCAACTACACATGAAAATGCAATTGAGTCATCCAACTTTAAAAAAGTGCAATTGACCCTTCAAACAAGTCAAATTTATACAATTAGACCAAAATAACCAAATTTGCAGTTAATTACTAGTTACCCTAGCCACGTGGATTTTCTTTTTAATTTTTAATTATTTTAATTATTTTTAGAATTAATTTTAAATCTTTTTCGTTTTCTTTGCCTCTAGGTTGGAGACGAGAGCTTTATTCATCTTTGCCAATAGAGACGAAAACTCCCTTTGACTTGGGAGACAAAAAGATATTCATCTCTAGCTCTGGAAGCGGAGAGATCTTCGTCTTTGATGGAAGACGAAAAAAAAGATCTTCATCTCCAAGGTGGAGACGAGAGCTCTTTTCGTCTTTGGCGCTAGAGATGAAAATCTCTTCATCTCTGGCCAGAGATAATGAGACAATAATTTATTTTTTTTAATTTTTTTTTTGAAAAAAAAAATTATCCAGCTTAGACATTTTTTTTTATAAATAATTTAATTCCGTATCATTTTTACCTATAGTATCGGTCAATTTGGTTTGATTGCATGAATTTCACTCGTTCTAGTAGGAGAAGCAATTTTTTTTTTTTTTTTTAAGTTAGATAACTTAGTTGCATTTTCATGTGTAGGTGACAGGCTAATTTGAATGCTTTTCATTATTATTATTATTATTATTATTGGATAAATTTATTACATAACAAAAATGTGTAAAAACAAATTAGACATTCTTAAAAAAAAAAATCTATTCTTGAGAACTCCAAGAATGATTTAATACTAGACCCTATTGGAATAACTATTCTTTTTGCAAAGAAAAAGCTCATTTCCGTGAATAATATTTTTGAGAATAAGAAAATTTGTCAAACAATAAAAAATATTTATTATTAAAAATATTATTTCAATTTGAAATTATATAATGAATCAAATTTGTTACAAAGTTGTTATTGAAAAGAAATACAGAGTATTTGATTTCTATGATTTTAACGAAACACTGATTTCAAGGATCATATTTGTCTCCTTCACTAAGAATTTGAGATTAATTTTATAATAAAAGTATAAATAATTCCCTAGAGGACTAGAATCCAAAATTATTAACTTCATTAAAATTACTAAATGAGACTAATTTTTTTAATACAAAACGAGACTAATTACTTAATCATTAAGACTAATTATTTATTGAACTATTACAATAGTACAAAATATAAAATAAGTGCATTACAAAATACAATATTAAATAAAATAATGCTAATTTATTATAATAATCCACCTAAATTAAGTATATAAATAGTGTTCATAACATGAGCATAATACAAAAGCATTAAAGGCAAAAGACTGAAACGTCTCAACTAAGTGGTGGTGTGATACTTAATTTGCAATTATATAACTGTGATTAGATTTTAGTGCACTTATCGTTTTTAGTATAGAAGAGTAACAAGTGTCATATCTCACAAAAATTATGAGTACTATTATTAACTATGCTTTCATTACCAAGTCGTAAAAATATGATGACAATCAATTAAGTAACTAAAATAAAATAAAAGACTAATCAACCACCAAGAAAAGCAAAGAGAATCTAAACACAATTAAAGAAATCAATCAATAAATCAATGGTACATGACCTATTGGAATAACTATTCCTTTTTCAAGGAAAAAACTCATTCCCGTGAATAATATTTTTGAAAATAAGATGATTTACTAAACAATAAAAAATGTTTATTATTAAAAATACTATTTCAATCCTGACTTATTACAATGATCTAAATTTGTTATAAATTGTTATTGAAAAGATATATTTGATCTCTAAGATTTCAACGAAACACTGATTCCAATGATCATATTTGTCCCATCACTAAGGGGGGTGTATTCAATCATGACTTTTGTAGAGTTTTAAAGACTTTTAAAATGATAGATTTTAATAAACTTTGATTGACTTTCTTAGAGTCATTCAAAACTTTTTAAAACTTTATAACACTCTATAAAAGTCTATATAAAAAACATTCATAGACTTTTATCAACTTTTTATTTTAAAAAGTCTACAAAAGTTCTTGAAATTCTAAATTGAATACATCCTTACAAACTTTCAATGGTTTTGATTCTTATCATTTATATAATTTTCTTACAAAACAATTTTAATATATCATAAAATTTTCTTATTATATAGTTCTTCACCCACATCAACACTCTCAACATTATTATTTTTATCCATAGTATGCTGAGACTTATATGCTAATTACTTATATATATTATTAAAAAGCATCAAAAAAATTATTTCATTAGAAATTCATAACAATATTGAATAATAAAATTTATAATAAAAGAGTTGATCAAATAAAATATTTAAAAATATAATTACAAGTTGCATAAAAAAATAAATCTAACATATATATATATATATATATATATATATATATATATATATATATATATATATATAATTATACTTGATATATTGCTAGACATCATGCAAAGAACTATTATTTGCAATAAGACTTTGGAGAATTAGAGAAAGTTAGGGATAAAAAATTAATAGATCGAAAAAATAAAAATCAATATAAACAAATAATAATGAAGTAAAAATAATATTATTTCAAATTTTTAGAGAAAGATTGTAAAGTTTAGGAGAGAGAAAAATTGGTAAAGTTTAGGTATGAGGAAAATATAGGATAATGAAGAAAAAAATAATTTTATTAAATTTAGATAGGTTTATAAAGTTTAAATATGAAGAAAAAATAGAGTTTAAATAGAGAGAGACAACATTCAAAGTTGTTAGAAAGAAAATTTTGAAATATTGGGGTTGATGGTTGGATTTCAACTATTTATATTTGAGAAGGAAAAGTCTACAAAAGTCTTAAAATTAAAAAGTCTACAAAAGTTCATAACTTTTTGAATACCACATGACTTTTAAAGACTCTCTAAAAGTCTTAATCGAATACCACACGACTTTTAAAGACTCTTTAAAAATCTTGATTGAATACCGCTTGACTTTTAAAGACTCTCTAAATGTTTGAATTGAATACCCCCAAACTCTTAAAGTTCATAAAAGTCTTTAAAACTCTATGAAAGTCATGATTGAATACACCCCCCTAAGAATTTAAGATTAATTTTATAATAAAAAAGTATAAATAATTGATAAATTAAATTTATGATATTTTTTAAATAATTTTCAATATATGTGACATATCAAGTATGTTTGATGCATTGTATGAGATTCTTGATAAAATATGAAGTACTTATTATAGTAGATTAGTAGATAAAGGTGACGAGGATGTCACGTGCCGGGCAGCCCAGGTAAAGTAAAGGAGAAAGGCGGGATCTAGATCCGACGGCTAATATCTTCCCAAAACTATCGGGAACTTCAACAGAAGACCTCGTATCCAACGGGCAGGAAAATTTCCAAAAATCTCACCGCCTTTGATGATCTGACGGTGGCTATTAAATCAAGTGGCCCCACTTCTCTCATAAGACCCGGCCCACTTTCGACCCACTCATTATCTCTCTCTCTCTACTCTCTGTTGTTCTTCACTTTCTCTCAGTTTACTCTTTCAAACTGGTTATCGGCGCATTATAACTATACATCTGCTTATCCTGCGCACTATACCGGCCTGAGAGAGAGATGAAGACGGCGTTGGGGCGCACGGTGAGGATATCGAGATACAGGACAGCGTTGTAGAGAGAGAGAGATAGAGAGAGAGATCCGAATTAGAGGGCTGAGATTTTGTAGAGATGGAAGGTCAGAAAAGCCAGGCGAGGCTTACGAGGACTCAGTCTTCACTTCTCCGGTCATCTCCCACCGTCCGGTCGTCCATCCACAGCATGTCTTTCGTGAACGAGATTACGCCTTCCGACGAACAAGAACCAGACCTGGAAGAACAGAAGCCGCACAAGAAGCCTTCCGGCGCGGCTCCGGCGAGTTTTGGATTCCGGCCATTCCGGTCCGGCTCGGCTCGGGAGGCTCCGGCGCTCGTCGCCTCCCTCTTCTCTCTGTACATCCTCTCCGTCTTCTTCAACTGGGAGGACGTTCCCACATCGGAGAATCTTCTCCTGGCGCTCACCTTCGTGGCGGTTGTTCTGTTCATGGTGCGGAGGAACACGAAACCAATCCGGCTGGGCTACATTTTCCTGAAGCGACTATGCGAGGACTACGCGAAGAGAGTGGGGTTTACGCCCAGGAAGTCCTCGAAGCCGGTGGAGTGGTTCATCGGGGAGGCGAAACCGAAGGATTTCGCGAAGGAGAAGAATAGCGCGGTAGTAAAAGAAGGTGTGGAGTTCTACAGCAATGGAGACGTGTACGAAGGCGAGTTCCACAAGGGAAGATGCAATGGGAGCGGGGTGTATAGCTACATAGGAAATGGAAGGTACGAGGGGGACTGGGTGGACGGAAGGTATGATGGTTATGGGATAGAGAGCTGGGCCAAAGGGAGCAAGTACAAGGGGCAGTATAGGCTAGGTCTTCGACATGGCTACGGAATCTATCGATTCTACACCGGAGATACCTATGCCGGGGAGTGGTGTAATGGGCAGAGCCATGGCGTTGGGGTTCAGACTTGCTCCGATGGAAGCTGCTACGTCGGCGAATTCAAATGCGGCGTCAAACACGGCCTTGGCTGCTACCATTTCAGGTACAAATTCTTCAACCTTTTTTGGATTTAGGGTTTAAAGCCTGGATTCCACTTTTTGTGTTGACCTAAAATCTGAGGACTGTGCATTTAATTTAACTCAAAGATATGATTGGTAAACTCTGGGCTGGGATCTACAGGAATGGTGATTTGATTGAATCTGATATTGAATTCTTGATGAATTTGTGATCTAGTTCACTTTATTGTGTTTGCTATAAAATTTCCCTTTTTTGGTAACTAGTTGGCTTTTCTGCAGTCTCTTTTGAACATTATTGCTGCTATATTTAGTAAACCATATATACTTGTCTTTCATTTGCTAGTATGATTTGCCATTGCTTTCATGAGTGGACTCTCTCTGATAGGGAGATTATTATATTAACCCTATTAACTCATCAGTTTGTCCAGTAATTTCCACACATGAAGCTTTAATGGAATAGGAAATATTGATTGATTTTCCATGTTTCAATTCTGGGTTGGAGAAAAATTAAAAATGTTTGAATCGTCTGAAGAAGCAAGGTTTCTTGATTGCATTGCAGGAATGGAGATAGATATGCAGGGGAGTATTTTGGGGATAAAGTCCATGGTTTTGGTGTGTATCACTTTGCTAACGGGCACTGTTACGAAGGGTCATGGCACGAGGGGCGCAAACAAGGGTATGGGGCATACACATTTCGAAATGGGGAGACAAGAAGCGGTGAATGGCACAGTGGCAATCTCAAAACTTCATTACCCTCAGTAAATTACCCAGTACTGGGTGCAGTTCAGGTAAACAGACCATTAAATTCTCCATTCAATAACCTCAACTTCCTCCTCGTCCTAGTCCTAGTTATGTAAGCGTGAAACACATGGAAACTTATGCCGTTTCTCTTCCATTTGCAGTCTTCTAGAAAAGCAGCGCAGAACGCCATTAACATTCGTCAGGTGGAAGATCACATAAACAAGGTGGTCATGTCTGCGAACCGAGCTGCTACTGCTGCCCGAGTTGCTGCTGTTAAGGCGGTTCAGAACAGAATCGACGGGAAATTTTGTGATACTAACAGTTAAGTTTCTGAGTACTTGTAAATGTAAATTAACCCCCGCCAAGTATGGTGACGATAAGCCACCCTGGTAAGCACAAGCTCACCGGAGGTTGAGGAGAGTGTATTGAGGTTTTGGCTTTTTACCAAACTGTAAGTTGTACATAAATCCAGTTGTGTGAATGAAAAAGAAAGTATCATTTTCTCCCAATGATTATTGCTTGATCTAATGGTCGCTGCTATTTTCCTTCCTTGTAATCATTAAGGATTAAAATACAAGGTAGCTTCAATTATTAGATTATTTCCTCTTGTTATAGTAGCATAGTCAATGCCACAGCTGTAAATGCAAGGATGCCTAACCACTACCATTTTATTACTCCAGTTTGTTTGTGCTTCCTGTTTTATTTTATTAGTCCTATTTATGCATTTTTTTGGGGTCCATTTTTTAGGTCCTATTTATACTCCCTAGTACTTTCAATCCATTTTTTCATTTTTTCAGTTTTATTTTATTTGTTGTTTCCAAAAGGTTGAATTCTTAATTTCAAGGGCTCCAGCCTCCCGGCCTAACAAAATAGGTTAGATCTTTATTATCAATCATTATTGTATGGACCATGGTCTATACAGTTGTGTGTATCATATTTTGTATAATGTAAAATAATGTATATTTAGTACAAAAATAATGTGCATTGTATTCAGGGGATGTATATTATTTTTGTACTGAGTGTACATTATATTGTATAATGTACATTCAGTATAAAAATAATGTACATTTAGTATATTAAAAATATACTTTTTGTTATGGTCCACATAACACTGCGTGAGCCATGGACCACACAATAAATTTTTCTTTTATTATTGCGCATAAGGAGCTCCTCACTTTGAGAGGTTGTTCTCACACTACCGCTGATGAGACTGGGGTAAATTATTGGCCCACGTATACAATGGTCTACACAGTGATGTTGTGGATCATAACAAAAAATCAAAAAGTATATTTTTTAATATACTAAACGTATATTATTTGTGTATTTAATGTACATTATACAAATAATAATATACTTTAGTACTCAAATAATGTATTTTCTCTGACTAAATGTATATTATTTTATAACCATACAAATTATGGTCTAATTGGAAGACTGAAATTCGAGTTATTGTTTTCAAACTTTGTCTCTGTGATAAACTGAGATGTCCATACAAACTTATTTTATTTGTTTTGTATTACTCGCCGGTCAAATTAACTCAAATATATGAATTTTATAACAATGCATATTATAATGAATATATTATAGATATATTCATATGAGCTTATACCAATTATACATGTCAACTTATAATTTAATAAAATTTTACTCATTTTGATTTGTTAGATTTTGAAAATCTCTTTCTATATAATATTCATGATAACCATTTGAGAAAATTGTTATATTTAAAAACTCGCCTTAATTAATTAATTATTGTCAAATGTTGATCATTATAACGATTAAGTCAAATCTGTAAATAAATTATGATAAACACAATTTTTCATTAACATTTTCACTCCAAAACAAATGTTAGCAATTATTAAAATTAAAATTTAAAATTTAAAATTAGTAATTAACTCAATGTTCTCACAAAATAAGGTTGAACTTATTTTCAATTCAAGAAGAGATATGTAATGTATGATTGACACTATGGGAGCATGAAACTCACATTTCATAAAGGAGTTTTATATTCCCTTACAAATAAAATTAGTAATGTGTGATCCCACATTCAAAAAGTGTGACATAATACATTGCAAGTGCTTTTCAAATTTACAAATATTATGAAATATGCTAATGTGATAATTCTTTAAATAGCAATTAACATGGTGAAATAATAGAAATTAATAATATTTATTATTCCTACAAATCAAAATCCAAAAAGATAAATAAAATAAGAACTAAAAAAATTAAAATAACTTAGAAAAACAATGAACTATATAAAAAAGTTATAAACATAATTCAATACTTCTAAATTTTACGGAATATTTTTTAACTTATTACCTATCAAAATTTTAATAATTATATCGTCGTTGTTATAATAACCATAACCATTTAGGAGCGGTGATACCATTACAATTTTAAAGAAAATTCAAGCAATATAAAAATATTGTATAAATATTAATGATGCTAGATTTAGAAAATATTAGCAAGCTAAGAAAAATTTTAAAAATTACAAATGTAGATGGATCTTTTTTTTGGTAAAAGTGTTTTAATAAAAAGCTAACGTATTTGAACATTTCATAGTTTTATCAAATTCAAATTGCTAAAAAGTTAAGGTGAACACCAATTTAACTTATTGTGTACCCATATTTTAAGGATAGAATAGCAATTAAATTGCATAATATATTGTATGCCCACAGTTTAATTGTTCTTCCTCACCTATCATTATTTTGTCTACCCCAAAGAGTACTTTTTCTACACAATTAAATTCATGAATTGTTCAAATCTTGACCTAGGAAAGGGAAATGGAAAAGTTTTTTTTGGATGAGGAAAATGTGGGTTGACGTTTAAAGAATTAGTGGCTTTAATTAATTTAGAAAAAGTATAAGAAAGGGAATTAATGTTGTTAATAAATGTGAAAGCAAGAAATGGCTCCATCGAGCATCATTCAACTTTTAATGCATCCAATTTCATCAACTAATTAACTAGTTGGCTAGTATGCGAGACAATTTCATAGGTCAACAAATGACAACGATGGCTCATTTTCTTTGTTGTTCCCAATGGCTCATTTTTTTCTTCTTCCTAAATGTTGAATCTCCAACCTTAACGATTTATTTTCACGCAGATCCGACAAGGCCAAATGTCGATAATTGGTCTCTTCTTTCAAATACTACCTACTGTCTACTGAACCATTGAACTAAACTTGTACAAGCAACAATGACTCATTTTCTTCTTCCAAAAGGTTGAATCCCCAACCCCGACCCGACAGAATATTTGGAAGCTAAGGATGTAAATCACAATGACTCAATGATCCAACAGACAAAGCCAAATGCCGGTGCGCACAATGAATCTGCCCACTTTGGACATAATTCCCACACTACCGTCACCAAAGTTCGAACCTTGATTTCTTCTTCCAAATATTGCCCACTGAACCATTAAGCTAAGCTCGTACGGGCAACAATGACTCATTTTGCTACGAGGGGTGGCTGATGTTGAGAATTTTCAGAAGAAAAATTTTAAAAATTATAATTCTTGAAAAAAAAATCCACAAACAAAAGAGCTATTAATATAAGGTGTGCGAAACACACTTTTCTAAACTGTTTACTTAGTCTCTTTGTAGAAAAAATATTTTAATTTTTTTAAAAATTAAGAAAAAACGTTTTAAGAAGTTTCCATAAATTAAATGGGTGAGAGGAAACGTTTCAAAAAACGGTAATATTATGAGTTTTTGTGCAACATAGGGTGAGTGTAATTTTCAATTGTTAGTCCAAGTTTTTATTGCAGATTTTTGAAGTAATGTAAAAGGTTCACACGTAATTTTTTTTTTTAAAAAAAATAAATTATATTTGATTATTTAGTGCGCGAGTACAAACAAGGTGGCTCTGGTAAGTATTGCGTTGTATAGAATGTTGGCCAGAGATGTACCCAAGTCAAGTTCCGTTTGATTTGGTATGACAATTTTCTATATTGACTTGTTCGAATTTTGAATTACGCAACTTTAATAAATATAATGGATTTAATAAGTTATTCATGGTTGGTATTATGGTTAAGAGATTCAACCAATTAATTTATTTATGGCTTAAATTTAAAGCTCATCCATGAAAAAAAAAATCAAATTTAAAATTTAAATTTTTTTAAAAAAGTAGCCTCCGCTATGAACGGGGTTGACTTCTGTTTTGCAAAGCGATCTGCGAATCGTGCTGCCCACGCTATAGCTATAGAAGCCTGAGTCAGGTTGCGGAGAGTGGTTTGATGATCCTCCCCTTATTTTGTTAGAGTGTCTTCTCGCCGATTTAATGAATTAATTTCTTATTTCCAAAATAAATTTAAAAAATTAAAAAAAAAAAACATTTTGTAGGTATAAAAGAAAGTTCAAATATTATTACTACCAATTTAATTAATTAATACCTAAATAGGGAGATTTGAATTCTTTTTAGGAATGTATATAATATAATTGTCATGATATAGACTTTTGGTATTGAATTATTAAATTTTATTCTTCCAATTATTAAATTTTATGAGTTTGAATATAATTGTCACAAGGTATAAATGTTTGAGTCTTTTTCACCAATAAACCTAAATTCAAAGGGAAATACTTTCTACCTATCCAATTACTACTCACTATTAACTACTACTACTCCGTACTAGATTAGAAAAAAAATAATTAAACTATTTATTTTCATTCTTCCAAAATATTGAACCCAACCCGACGGTGCATCTGGGAGGATGTAAATCATAATAACTCACATGCCGCTGGTGAGACTCAATCCATGGTCATTCTTCCAAACTATTTATTTTCATGAATGATGGGCCGGTGAATAAGTTGATCCACACTGAGTTAATAACAAATGAGTTAATATCCAAAATCGTCCTCGACTATAGTAGTTTTTCTCAATTTCGTCCTAAACGACTTTGGTGACCTAATATCGTCCCAGACTTTTGTGTTTCACTCAATTTAGTCCCAAATTTTTGTATTTTTGCTCAATTTAGTCCCTCATTTGTTATTCTGTCCATTTGGTGTTAAATAAATAGACAATTCAGTAATTTTAATATTGGCATCTCTTTACTCATAGACATGTGAACTGCGAAATCCTTTTTTTTTTTTTTACGAATTACTCCCAGAATTACTCCTAAAACTGCGAATATAAAATTTGATTTGTAGGTCCGGGAGTAATTTTGGGTGTAATTCTTACAAGAAAGGGGAATTTCACACTTCACAAGTTGAAAGTAAAGAGAGATCAATATTGACATTACTGAATTGTCCCTTAATTTAACACCAATTTGACGGAATAACAAATGGAGGACTAAATTGAGCGAAACACAAAAGTCTGGGACGATATTAGGTCACCAAAGTCGTTTAGGACGAAATTGAGAAAAACCACTATAGTCGAGGATGATTTTGGGTATTAACTCAATAACAAATATACATATCTAATAAAAAGATGACGTACTGACTGATTGGAGTGATAATTGTATATATGGATCTCTAGCATGGTTACATTCAAATTCAAATAAAAGTTTATTTCAATTT